GGTGGCACACACCTTTAATCCCAGCAGCCACACTAGTTAGCCATGGAGGCCAGGCAGGCAGTGGTGGCACACAATTTTAATCCCAGCACTCAGGAGACAGAGGCAGGCAGGTCTCTGTGAGTTCACAGCCACCTTGGGCTACGTGAGATTGAATCGGATTAAAACAGAAACAGAGATCACACAAAGGCGATTCCAGCACTTGGGATCCCATGCCTTTAATCCCAGCACTAGGAAGGTTGGAGACAGGTGATATGGTTGGGTAGGGAAATGAATATAAGGTGAGAGGAGACAAGAGAGGAGACAGTCGGTTTTGTAGAGATGGATGCAGTCTAGGCAGTCCGAGGAAGCAGTCTGAGGACAGGATCACCCTTTTGGTCTAAGCATTGGTAGAGGTGAGAACTCTCTAGTGGCTGGCTGCTTTCTTCTCTGAGCTTCAATTCTAACCCCAATTTCGGCCTCTGGTTTTTATTATTAATACCAACTAGAATTCATGCGAGGCAGTGTGCCTACAAAGGAGTGGTTGATGAGAAGGGTGAGGGATTTAGGAGGGCATCTCATGTAGGTTTCTGTAAATAAACACCATGATCAAAGGCAACCTGGAGAGGAAAGGGTTTATGTCATTCACAACTCCCAGGTCGCACCATCACCCAGGGAAGTCAGGGCAGGATTCTGGATGCAGGAGCTGATGCAGAGGCCATAGAGGGGAGCCGCTTACTGGCTTGTTCCCCATGCCTGTTCAGCCGGCTTTCTTATAGAACACAGAACCACCAGCCAAGGGGTGGCACCACCCACAATGGGCTGGGAACTCCCACACCAATCATTAATCAAGAAAATGCCACGGGATTGCCCATAAGCCAATCTAATGGGGACAGTTTCTAAATTGAGGTTCCCTCTTCTCAAATGAATCTTGCTTGTGTGGAGCTGACAAAGAATGAACCAAGACAGACAGTGTCCTCTGTTCTCTTGTGGGTCCTCCCTCCAAGCTTCATGTGACTTGCTAGGTAGTTATGGTAGGAGGCTGAGGCTCTGCCAATGGGTTTCATGTGGTAAAGTAGGGTGAATCTTTAGATGCAAGCCAAGAAACACTAGCAAACTCTATAGATATTAGTAGGCTCTCTAGTGTGGGGATCCCATCACAGGGTTCATTACAGGGTCTTACTGCTTTAAAATTTCAATTTCCAATAAATTAATGATGGCAGGGTGTCTTGCTTGAGAACTATCTACCTACCTACCTATTATCTATCTATCTATATCTATCTATCTATCTATCACATGCTATGTGTCATTTTTTTTTTAAACCCTCATTGTTAATTTTACTCAAAGACAAAAGCCAAAGGCTGGTTTTCAGTCTGCTTCTGGGGTGGCCTTAGGCTTCTGTGGTAGGGTCTGGGAGGCTGGGAGAGATAAAGGAGGGAACTGTCATTGCATCTCTCTCCAGGAACAAGCATTAGTTTCTCTGTTCTCTCTTAACGAAGTGGTAAGTTGGCAATGTGTTTTTAATCAATTCTGTTGCTTGAAAATGTTTAAACTCTACCACTTTAGGGAATTGGTGTTAATTGTACATAGAAAGATAATCACCTTTTCTTGAAGAATTGTTTTGGATTATTCAAATCTCCAAGGAGTGAAATGTGTCACTTCTTTTCTGTGTCCCACTGAGTCACAAGTATGTCTTTTTGGAATACTTAGTATTCTTTAAAACAAAAATGTGTCTTTGCATTGTAAAAGGGTTTTATGTCTTAAATATTTTACATATAAATTTTTTTCTGCTTTTGAATCTTTTTATAACCTTGGTTACATAACCTGTAGGCATGTAACTCACAACCTAAGGCATAAAAATCATAGCTATGACTAGAGGCATGATTAGATTTCAGTAGATCTTGTTTAATACAATTGATAGTTCTGTCTTAAAAACATGAATATGAGCCAGATGTAATGGTGTACACCTTTAATGCCGGCACTTGGGAGGCAGAAGCAGGTGGATCTCTGTGAGTTTGTGGCTAGTCTGGTCTACACAGAGTTCCAGGACAACCAAGGCGACACAGAGAGACCCTGTCTTAAAAAAATAAACAAAAAACAAGCCACAAGTAGGTCTAAGATACCCAGGAGTGCATTAAAAAATTGTCTCGTGGAGTCAGTGAGGCAGCTCAGCAGTTAGAAGCACTTCCAGTACAAGTCCTGCAACATGAGTTGATCCCTAGCCCACACGGTTCAATTTCTGAAACCTACTTTGGAAGGAGAAAGCCAACTCTTTCAAATTGTCCTCTGACCTCCAGACACGCACCAAGGCACACACATGCCCATACTCAAATACACACCTGTCACACGTACATGTACACACATACACACTAGTAATGGTAATAACAATTTTAAATTGCTCTATATACATTTTCCTTCTTGAAAGCGATACTAGGCAAGGGCATAAGAAAGTGAGCAGTGGCTGGATTTGAAGAACAGCGTTGGTTCTTCCCAGAAGCATCCTCCAACTGGCATCTTAAATTCTTATTTATTTCTTCATTTACTTTTGACACACGATCTCACTATATAGCCTAGGCTCACTTTGAACTAAAGATTCTTCTGTCTCTGCCTCCTGAGTTCTGGGATTACAGATGTTTACCCCATGACTGCTGGCTGTAGCTGGCTCTGAAGAGTAAATGATGGTTGAGGTCTGGGGTGGTTCTGAGTCGTACCAGTTCCTGTTGCCCTACTCAGGATGCATTTACTGGTTGCATCCAGATGAGAAAACACATTTGAGGGGAAATTGGTAGGACTGTGAGAGTGGTGCACTGGGCAGTCTTGAGAAGATGACCAAGTGATCATTATCTAGCCATAGACTGGAAAGAGGTGACATCATTCATTTCTCTCTCTCTTTCTCTGTAACGGGAAATAGGACATCTCAAAGTCTCAAGCTTGATGTGTGCATTACTTTTGATTTTAGTCTGCTCTTGGATGATAACTCTTTAATCATTAGTAGAATGAGGACACTCAGTCTTGAACTTTATTTGGCCTTTGCCCAGGGAAATAGCATGTCTTCCATATTGGAAACTCGTCATTGGTTAGTTTCCTCTTTAACTTATTTTGAACCAAGTTATCTATTGCTACTCAGTTTATTAGGGTTAGTCATTGTTGACTCTTTCTAGTTGATGAGCATTGACTTTTCCCTTTTCTATCACCTCCATTTTTTTTCTTTCATTCTTGTTTTAGTGTTCTTGTATTTATTTATGCCATGAAGCTCATCCTGTTGTATTATGGTGATAGTCCTAAAAGATATTATTGTAGTTGAAACATCCCCATCCCACAGTGACACCTATAGCTGTCATAATATTCTAACTTAACACATTACCCATGTTTGTGTGACACTAGTATAAACAAATCTATGTAGCATTACTAGTCACAAATAGCATATACAATTATGTATAGTGAATAATGACTGGTTAATGATAATAAGACACTATCTATGCTAATGGCTCATGTATTTGTTATTTGTTCCACTATACCTTTTCTTAGTATTTTAGGGTATACTTCTGGTGTGTAAAACTATTTTTTTCTTTTTTCTTTTGCAAAGCAGTCTGCTGGATTAGTAGCAGTCTCACATTTGCTGTATTTACTGTGTTTCTTGATTGCATTGTTCATCTTATGCTTGGTGCACTGTGTTCGTTCATCTGTTGATGTGTGCTTAGCTTGATTTCCCTCCTGGCAGTCATGAAGAATACTTCTGTGAATAATATTAATAAGGCAAAGATGTAGAAATACCTCTTTAAGACCCTGATTTCAGATCTTTTGGGAGCACATACCCAGTAGTAGAATTGCTGGACCACTTGATAATTTCCCTCTAGTATTTCTGATGATGGAACCCAAGCATCTACATATCCTAGACAAGTGTTGTGCTGTGCCACTGAGCTACTGAGATACAGCCCAATCTCCTCTTCCTCTTCCTCCTCCTCCTTCTCCACCTTCTCCTTTTTTTTTTTTTTTTTGAGAGACACCCTATTTGTAATTTCTGAGCCAGTTGAATTGTCTGTGGTTATTGTAGTGATGTGCTATATTAGTTACTTCTGTTGCTGATAAAATACCATTGCCCAGAAGCAAGGAAGAAAGAGCTTATTTTGGCTAATAGTTCCAGAGGTTAGAGTCCATAATGGCGAGGAATGGCATGGCTGCAGGTAGCCAGAGCAGGAAGCTGGCTGCTCACATTTCCTTGATACCCCAGGAAACAGAGAGAGAACTGGAATAAGGGGGCAGGAAGGCTATAAACTCTCAAAACCCGTACTTTCTCCAGCAAGGTTCCATCTTCTAAAGGTTTCATAACTTCCCCAAATAGGGCCACCACCTGGGGACCAGGTGCTCAAATGCATAAGTCTGTGGGGGACATTTCTCATTCAGACCACTGCATGTACCTCCCAGATGGCTTGTTTGTTTATAATACTAATTTCATATCTTGTCTGCCAGCTTTACAAGGCATAATTAATGATACACAATGTGATGTTTTAAGATGGTATACATACACACACAATGAGTGAATCAAGATCATTCATTAATGAAGTCATCATTTCTCTTGCTTATTTCTGTTTTCCTGATGAGAATCATTTAAAATCTGCTCTCAGCAATCGCCAAGTACACAATGCCATTATTATTATTGTTATTAGCTGGAATCACAGTGCTGCCCTATTGTTCTCCAAAACTTACTCATCCTGTCCACTTTGAACTGTGCACTTGACCAACATCTCCTCCTCCCTTCTCCTTGATGTCTAGTCATCATTTGACTCCCACAGCTAGTTTACATGATATGAATCAGAACAGTGAAGTGAGGTCAGCTTAAATTTCAGGGCACAGAGAAGACCTTGCCAAGACCAGCAACACTCCATCCACGGTTCATCAACTGCACTTTCAGAAATCACCAAGGACGGGGAGTGAGGATTTGCTCAGCCAGATCCCCAAATGCATATGTTTAACATTAGCTGTAAGGATGGTGATGCAGTTTCTTACTTTGGGTTTTTCTGTAGGGATAGAGGAAGCTGAAGACAGACTGATGGACTCTATTGATGGGCTCCATTATCTGACCATGACTGCTGAAAACCCAACTTCCGGAGACCTGACTCCTGTCCCCATTGTTACTTGCAAGCTTTGCCTGTGCGAACAACCTCTGGACAAAGTGACCATGCTCCAAGAATGCCAGTGCATCTTTTGTACATCTGTAAGTGTTCCTTAATGTTTACACCATGTCCATGAAGAATTATGGGAAACAATATGAAAGCTATAGGATACATTTCTGTGGTGTATTGAGCTTGCTATTGTCGGACCCTGCTGTGGAAAGCAAACACATTCTATTCACTTTGCAATCAGGAATAGTGAACAGATTAGTGGTCTTCATTAAGTAAATAATGTGTATAATGAATTATTATCTATTTATTTAGGTTTTATGTTATGTGGTGAAGGCAGAGATTGGTATGGCACTAGGATCTAAAGCATGCTAGGGAAGTGTGTATATATATATATATGTAGCCCTAGCTTGCTTTTAACTTGTTGTGTATCTCAGGCTGGACTTGAACTCATGATCTTCTTGATTAACCTCCTGAGTTCGAGGATTATAGATGTATCCCAGCACATCCAGAGAAATATAATTACTGAGTAAATAGAATCTTTCCATTCTGACTATTCTGGTTCAGGAACAAAACAAAACTTTCAACATATCCTAGTTACCCATAACCTCTAGCTCACCAGGTGTTTTGAGTGATGAAAAAACAAATCAGATAATAATGAATATTCTTTTCTATTTTCTATTCCTCTACTTCTAAGATGTGCTGAATAATTCGTCCTCTGCATTAGTAAACAGCAATGACAATGATGTGGATGTCCAGGGATGAACTTGCCTCTTTGACTGATGTCTGTTAACAATGCCTGTCACCTATGTTACTAGTTTCCTTGAAGGTTGCTCCCTTAATGTATCAAGATGGGAGCCAGAAGGAAGGGATCTCATAGGACTCAAAGACAGAGAAGAATGGTGCCATTTATTCATCCAATAGGCAGCTGTCACATAGCACATGTGTCCTGGGAACTGTTCTTGGCCACCAGAGATTCTCAGTCACAGAAGCAAAACACAGAAAAAAAAAATCTCTGATCCTGGGAGCTTATAACCCAGAGGTTCTCAACCTGTGGGCCATGACCCCTTTTGGAAGGTCAAACGGCCCTTTCACAGGGGTCATATATCAGATAATCCTGCATATCAGATATTTATATTATGATTCATAACAGTAGCAAAGTTACATTTATGAAGTAGCAATGAAAATAATGGTATGGTTGGGGGTCACCACAATGTGAGGAACTGTGTTAAATGGTTACAGTATTAAGAAGGTTGAGAATCACTGTTACAACCCATCGAAGAGGGTTGCATAGTAAACAAGAGAGTTATAGAAGACTGGGAGACAGGGCTTGGGAGGAAAGCAGAGTCCAATCAAGGGGGGTGGGGTGGGTCTAGGGAAGACACTGAGCTTTAGGGGGCTAGGAATCACACTGATGTTACTTCTTTATCTTGCCAGTATGTGTTGCTTTATGAAAAGGGAAGAAGTCCCAGGGCGACCATTTTCCTTTGGTCTTGCTTGGATTCTGACCCTGTCTGTCAGAAGCAATGGCTTCTCTGTCTGTTTTATATGTTTTTTGACTCTTCCCTCTCGTAGGAACATGAATCAGAGACAGCATTTAGTGCAAACCAGGATGAAAGTTTTCCTCTGAGGGTGCCTGGTGTTGAAGGGCAGGATCTGTGATTCTGTTTTTGCCTTGAGAGTTCATAGTGTAGGATTCATTCAGGCTTGTGTGTCAATGCTGGGAAAAGAATAGCAAGCCAAAGGTCGTGTTTCATCTTTACAAGAAGCTAATATTGACACATTGTTTCAATAGATTTTAGTTCCTAATTAAAAACAGTAACACTGTTTCTCATTTCTTCAGTGATTTGGGAGTTGGAGTTTGAGTAATTGCATTATTCTGTCAACTAGATTCACACTTCCTTGTTGTTAAAGAGGGCTCAGAAGCAGAAAGTCACGTGGTTTGATATTTCCGGTACTCTCCATTTTCTGGGAGCTTTTGTACCTATAAGCATTAGTCTTCGCTGGCCTCTTGATAACCTCATTACCCATGAGCTACTAAAGCAGTAAGCTGAATGTGGGTGACTGCATTAGTGTCTGTAAATTTGTAATTAGAGTTGGACTTGCCTGAAGTACTACTTGAACATCTCTTACTGTTAGAGATTTATTTCTTCATTTTATCCAAAACATGATTTTTAAAAAAGTGTCCTAGGGGCTGGAGGGATGGCTCAGTGTTTAAAAGTACTTGCTGCTTTTTGCAAAGGACCCGAGTCCCAAGTTCAGTTGCCAGCTTCTGCCACTTTTTTTTTTTTTTTTTAGTTTATGTGTACGAATGTCTCTCCTTCATGCATGCCTGTGTACCACACGTGTACCCAGTGTTCAAGGCAGTCAGGCGAGGGCATCAAATTCCCTGGAACTGGAGTTACAGATAGTTGTGACTACCATGTGGGTGCCAGGACTTGAACCAGGGTCCTCTGGAAGAGCAGCCAGTGCTCTTAACCACTGAGCTATCTCTCCAGCCCCTGATACTTTTTAACATATTGATTTGCCCACAACAGGTGCTCTGAAGGTTCTGCTTTAGATCATCTAATGTAGGTAATTCTGGCTCTAAATAACATCAGAGAAAGGGGGGCGAAGCATATCACTGCCAATAAACCATCCCTTTAGACGGTCTACTTGTGGAGGTGGTTTCCTCTGTTGAACTCCATGCTTGGCTTTAATATGGAGAAGAAGCTGTAGCATAAAGTAAGGGAAGTTGAGGATAGAGATGCAGGTACAGTCCTCACTCGCATGGATGAAGGCCTTAGGTGCACTATGAAGCTATGAAATCAAAGGGGTAGATACATTGGGATTATAGTGAGAGAAACTGCAGAATTATTTCTTGTGCTCTGAAGGCTAAATATCTCAAGAAGGTTCTAAATTAATAATAGGTAGAATGTAGAGAGTTTCTCTCTCCTTTTCCCCCTTCATTTTCATTTGTCGATACAAATAATGGAAACATCAAAATCCAAGCTTCACTTCTGTCTTGTTTAGGGTTTTTATTGTTGTGAAGAGACATCATGACCACAGCAGCTCTTATAAAGGAAAGTATTTAATTGGGGCTGGCTTACAGTTCAGCGGTTTAGTGTATTATTATCCTGGTGGGGAGCATGGCCGCGGGGCGGTAGACACAGTGCTGGAGAAGGAGCTGAGAGTCCTACAACCAGATTGGCAGGCAGCAGGAAGAGAGAGGGACACTGGGCGTGGCTTGGGCTTCCGAAACCTCAAAGCCCACCCCTGGGGACTCACTTCCTCCAACAAGGCCACACCTCCTAATAGTGCCACTCCCTATGAGTCTTTGGCGATCGGTTTCCTTCAAAGCACCACACCTTTTCTGGATCCTTTCCTCTCCTTTTTTGAGGCAGGGCCGTGCCGTCTAGCCTTGGCTAGGCTGCCACTTGGCGGCTAGCCCAGGTTGCTGTTGAACAATGTTCCCGCCTCAGCCTCCCAAGGACTAAGAGCCATCACACCTGACTCATTTGTAGCTACTGAAACTTGTCCTTTCAGATAATTCTGGACAATTTAAGTCAAGGGAAAAAAATGTACAAAAGTCAGTTTTCAACGTGGTGAAAATCACGGGTTTGCTGTCCTGCGGGCAGTACTCGCCTCCCCTCTGGTTTGCTTTGGACGCTGTTCCTGTCAGCCACGAATGAGGGATAATGAGAGCACAGTTGTTGCTTGTTTTTATAACCTAGATAACTTCACCTGGAAAGAGTTGGTATGTTGGGCATGGCCTATTTGCCTTTCAGATTAAAGACAGGATGTGTTCAGTGAAAAGAAAATAGAGTCCAACCATACTCCTGCCTTTTTCCATTACCCTTTATTGGCTCTGGGTAGTTAGAGTTCTCTTACTACTCATTTCTTGCAGCCAAATGGATTTTCCAGTGTTTAAAAAGTGAGAGAGAGAGGAAACAAGACTTTTTCAGTCAAGCCCTTCTTTCCTTCAGGGCCTGTTGGGTGACCTTTAAGAAAAGCCCTCAGATGCTCTGGGAGCTGCTGCCTGTGTGTGCATGTGTGTGTGTGGGTGGGTGCATGCATGCTTCTTTGTGTGTGTGTGTGTGTGTGTGTGTGTGTGTGTGTGTGTGCGCGCGCGCGCGCACGCGAGTGATGACACTTTCCTACACCGCCTCCCTCCCCCCCTTGCCATGCCGCTGGCTGTGGTGAAGAGCCCAGATATAAAGACAGGAGAAGCCAGACTCAGCCAGGCTTTGCCCTCCAGTGGTGTAAGATTGAAGGCAAGGTCAAGCCATCTGACTTCTGCTTCCAAGCAACCGAGCAACAGGAGTCGGTAATCCCTGTCTTGGAGTAAAGTACATCAGATGAGGTAAAGAGGGGGCCTCACTCCCATCTCTGGAGTAAGTTAGTGTCACTGTTGTTCCTTTCCCACTCTATATCAAGCCCTTCCATCCTTTAAAACTGCTCCAGAGCAAGGAATGCTGATAAAGATGTGAGTTTGACCATCTTCATCTTCCTCACCAGACATTTACCAAAATATACATACTGTGGCTTACAATTACACTTTTAAGCCTAAATTCCAAAAGTAGATCAGGAGTTACCTAAAAGCCAAACAAAATTAAACAAACTTTTTTTTTTTCCAATGACAATGACAGGAAAATAAAATATCAGTACGATATTTTAATGAGGAAATATAAAAACAAATCTTAGTCTCCTGTTTTAATCCAAAGATACTCAAGACTAGTTTCCCCCTGTCCATCCTAACTGCAACTTTATTTGGGAATAAAGGCCATCTTAAAATCTTTAAACCTTAAAAAAAAAAAAAAAAAAAGATTAGGCAACTAGGCTAGCAAATAAGTACTTATTCTCATATCAAACAAGCTAGTATCTCATTACTATGTTACAGTGTAACTCTACAGAATAAATAAAATACACAGATGTTTGCAAGGCAAACACTGGTCCAGAAAAGATTAAAAAAACATGATATTTACATTGATTTCAATAACTCTAAAAATGATTGTAAGGTTGAAATGGCAACTTTAAAGTGGTAAGGTTGAAACGGTGTCTTCAAGGTGAACCAATGATCAAACCTTTGGCAGACCTACCTGATTCAGATGAGATT